GGTTGGTCGGGCGTCTTTTTCCTCGTTCTCCCCGGTGGTCTCGACAGGTTTTCGGCCCCAAAGCGCGGCCTCGCGGGTCAGAAGCGACTCTCGCGCGTCGATCGAGCGAGGCCTTCGCCCTTCAGTGAGCCCGGATACTACGGGATGGAGCTGAAGCCCCGGGCCGGGCGCCCAAGAGTCCATTGAGAAGAATCCCCGAATCCCCGAATCCCCCTCCCGCGCCCCCAAAACAAAACCAAAAACAACAAGAGAACAACCCAACAAGAGAACAACAAGGGAAGCCAAAACCAAACAACAACACCAAAATGAAAAGAAGAGAACCAACAAGAACGGAAGAAGAAGCACAGACAGGTAAAAGAGACAAGTTCCTCACCCAGTGGGTTGATTTTTTCCGTTTTCGAGAAGTTTTTGTTGGCGGGGGTGGGCCCCTTCAGAATCGACCAACGACCAAGGCCCCCTTTTTTCCCACGGAAATCTGAAGGTCTGAGTGTTCTCTGCTCTGCTTTACAATGAATTTGCAGCGCCAGATTCAGACTCCCTCCGGCTTTACCATGGAAACTAGAAAACCCTCACTTGTGGACTTTGTTTTTTCTGTCAAGGGGCTTTTCGAGGCCCAACTGATTCAAGCGGAACGCAGGTCGAAAAATGAAGAAGGGGCCCATGCAGAAGGGACCCTCGACGTCCCCAGCAGGGGCCCTAGACCTCCCCCACAGTTTTGGCGGTCCGACTCCCGACAAAAAGATGGGCCGCCCATGGGCGGGGACCCGTTCCCTCGCCCCTCTCAGGAGAAGCCCCCGAAGCCTACGGCGCCCACTCTGACGGCGCTGGGCAAGGGCAAGCTGAGGGTCTCCTGGGCGCGGGGACCCAGTCCAACTCACAGGAAACTTGCGGGGGGGGGGGGGTCGTTTTGCCACCTTTGGAAAAATGATCGACCCCCTTGTGGTGAAGGATTCCTTTTTGAGGGGCTCGCCCATTTTCTCACAAAAGGTGGCAAAAAGACCCCGTTGCTTGCGGCGGGGGGGGGTGCATGCCAAGTCTTGGCCCGTGCGGCATGCAGCTTCGCAGTTCGATTTGGCGAGACAGCGGGGCGGTAATCCAAGTGAGGGTTGATCAATATTATTCCGTTCGACCCCAAAACACTACGGGTATTTGTCGTGGGAGGGGGCTAGGTGTGGGCTGGAGGCAGCTGGAGCGTGGATCTGATATGGCTTCCCGTTGTGCACCAAAGGGCAATTGTGTGTAGCATCCCAACAACTCGGCTATTTTGCTCGGCCGATCCCCGTTTTTCTGAGATCCACCAAAAGAACCTCCGTTTGGTTTCCTAGTCTACACCAATCGTTTTTGCGTTTGGTTTCTGAGCCCACAAAAACAGCGTGGGTCAGCAAAATAGGATTCCCGTTTGGGTTCGGGGATTCACGTCTGTTTCAAGCCATGGTTTCAACAAATGAGTTTCAATCAGGCTCCTTTCGCTTGCCCTTTAAAGAAAGCATGTCTATTGAATCCTGTTTGCCCACGCAACTCGGCCCCTTTTCGCCCCCTGTTACGAGCGGGGAACCAGGGGTGTAAACAAGACAAAGGGGGTTGCCAGGAAACCGTTCCGCTCTTTTTTGAACATGGAAGCAATGACACGTAAAAGAAACTTTGTAGCCATCTTGCAACTTAGAACCAGTCAATGGGTTTTAGGCGCTCACATGATGACTTTTTTCAGTGGGAAAAGGGCCCGTGCCCATGTGCCAGGGAATTTAGAGCAACCCTGTATCCTTGTACAAGAAATCTTGTACAGCGATCTTGTATCTTTCAGAGTGCGTCCAATAGAGATGCTTCACATAAGTTTTGCAGAGTTGCTGGGATCCTTGAACGACATCTTGCAAGTAGATACACACAGATCCTCAGAAAAAGCTCTTGCATCGGTCCTTGAAATAGATCTGTCGCAGAGATCTCGCAAGAGCCGCACCAATCTGTCTTTTGCATTGTTTGCAGACATTTGCCGGAGTGTTTTTGGAAGATAGAGGTTTTGGGTGGGGAGTGTTTGTTCGAGAATGAGAGAGGCAGAGATCTGAAGTCACATTTTTTTCTCACTCAGATACTGTGCTTGCAGTTGAAACACGCAGGGACTGGAGCAAGACTTGTTTTTCAGAGCCAAGACTCCAGGAGGGGGCGAATAAGCGATCAGGGCATTAGCTGATTAGCACGGGAAGCATTGTGCAGTGGGACTGGACTGAGGCGCTTGTACAAGCATGGGGGTTCCAAAACTGCATGGGATCTGGCCGCTGCTCACAAGCAGCCTGCTGGCCTTTTCTACTGGGGTACCCAGTTTGACACGCAAGAGGCCTGACGCAAAGCGCTAACTAGTTGCAGACATCGTGCTATGATCATGGCGTGTAGTTCGACAATGCCCCGCCCATTCTAATCATTTGAATTTAGGCCTGCATTGCTGGATTCAACCAAGGTGATCTGGACAATTTGTGGTGTCATTTGTACCCAAAGGTTAAACTTTTGCTTCCAGTTCCTTTTGGCAGAGATGGGTATTGATGCTAACTATGCTCAGTTTCAAAACTGACCTTTTGGCTTGTTTCTTTTCTTGATTTCCCAAAAGGTGATCACCTTGAGTTTCTCCTCCAGGTAAAACAAACAAGGGGTATTGTTGGGGTACAAGGTTTTTCCTGCCATTTGTCGTGGTTCTACCTGCAAATGGCCCTTGATGCGCATAGCAAGTGACAAAGTTTGTGTTTCGCTCAACATGGGTATTGTTGCCAAGGGCCGTCAAGGGCCGCCCAATAGGCCCCCCCATCCCAATGGAGGCTCATGCTGTGGATGGACGAAATCCTGCACCACTTTGAAACCATGGGAAACTATTGTTTGTTGGTATTTACAGGGGAATCAAATCATTCCAGGCTTTGTTTGGTGGGCAGGATTTCGTCCCTCCAAAGTATTGACCAATGATGCGAATTGGCTATAAAAAAAAACACCAAACAAAAGGCCAGCCCCCCAAAAAACAAAACGACACACCCAATTGGGTTCTCTTTTTGGGCGCATTTCTTCGGGGTGGCGCCCCTTGGGTGGGCCCGCACCAGGGGATGTTGAAAAACCACGTCTCCCTCTTCCGAACTCCCAGGCCGTGCCCAGCGTGTCTCCGCCGGTGGAGGCTACCCAGGCGGGGGCAGGTAGTACCCCTCCCATCGCGCCTGGGGTGAAGAGGCCCTGGAAAATGGAGCCCAAGAAGCTTAGCCGAGGAAGCTCTCCTCATGGCGCCTCAATTTTGGTCCCTTCGGGAAATGGATCCAACATCAAGCACGCGGGATGAGTGTTTGTGTGACTTTGAATCCAAACCAAGAAGCTTAGCACAGCGACCAAGAAGCTGGGTTTGTTTAGGATGCCGAGCTTCTGTATCCGCTTTGCTGTTGTCAGCATTTCAACGCTGCTGGGCTCATCAAAGTATGAGCCCTGAAGTTTGATGCCTTTCCCCATTGGCCCCCGAGACAGAGCCCACAATGGATTTTCTTCCACCTGGATCGCCAGTCGCGATCGCTTTTTTCCATGCGCTTTACCCCAAGAACCAGCAACAGTGACTGACAAAAAGTGATCGCAACTTGGCTATCTAGGAATGTGCGTTTCAGGATTCTGGCGTGAAATCTTCTGGTTTAAAGGGAATCATTGGGGTCACTTGGCTTTCTGCTACACCCGGATTCCAATTATTTCGCGCTTATAGTAGAACAATGGAGCGGTATGGAATTTCAGGGCCGCAAAATGCTTTCAACTGCCAATCTGATTGTCTCAGCCATGTGTGTGTTTTTTAGGGACCCTCCAAACTGGGTTGTGGGATCAGTTTTTCCCCACTTCTGTGATGCAAGGGAATCTCCCCTTATGGGGGGTTAGTCTTTGGGAAGTCTTTTTGGTTGTATCACAGATTCGTGGATTTCATTTCCCACAGCCCTGAGTAAACAAGTTTCAAGCACTAGCAAGCACGTTAACAACCACATTGTAAAGTTGTAAAGTCTAGGTCCCCCAGCTAGGTGCCGTTTTACCAAATCTTTTTGGGGGAGGGTTCTACTTACTAAAAATAGACTACAGAAAAAAAGTTAAGGTTGGTAGCCTTATTGTAACCTCTCCAATCTGGAGGACCTAGGATGGGAAAACCAAACCAATGGTACTATTTTGGGGTAGGTGAATTCACCACCCATTTTAGTCTATTTTGGGATGTTCTTTTTGACCCATGGCCAATTCCACCGCAGCCGTGCCACGTGGATTTCGGTTTTTCTTTCGGCCCCTTCGCCGGGCTCCAGGTGCAGCTCACGGACGTTGGCACAGGCCCGAGGGAGTTCTCAGTTGCCAACATGGGCCCGTTTCGGAAGGGACCCACCCCGAAACTGGTGGTTGTCCTTTTCTTTGTTGCATTTTGCTTGGATGTGGGACTTTAACTTTTTGTTATTTTTTGTGGTTGTCCATTAAACTGCTAAAAGTTAAACTTTTAGCAGGGGAGCAGAATAACCACCGAACATGTTCATGAACCAGCTGGTAGGTGGTTCATCGCTTGGCTTGCTAAGGTGTGGATGGACAGTTGGGATTGGATTTTATTCAGAGGGTTTCATCAAGGGTATTCCCTTTGCAAGTGCGTGTGCGTGTGTGTGTGTGTGTGTGTGTGTGTGTGTGTGTGTGTGTGTGTGTGTGTGTGTGTGTGTGTGTGTGTGTGTGTATGTGTGTGTGTATGTGTGTGTGTGTGTGCTTTTTGGGGGTGGTTCAAAGGACAATCAAGAAGCAAACCAGAGCTATTTGTTTGGTGTGGAATCTCTATTTTGACACATACCAAAGTGCAGCGCCCTTGAGCACAATGAATCATTGAGGTTCCTGGTCATGCTTCTCCAGTTGGTCTATGGTCACTTTGGGGTGACTTTCTAAACTCCAAGGTCATTGGGTGGCAAAAGTCGCAAGGGGTTGGCAACATGTGGCTGTGGGTCAAAACCCTGTACCCCTGGTGAACCTCAAAATAGGTGGGAAATGGATGTTCATCCACCCTAAAATGGGATCGCCATAGGTTATGCAACCCATGGCCATGTGTTTTCCTAACAACTGAAAGCCGAATTGGTCTCTGCCCAGATTCTGGGTGGAGCGAGCCGCTTCCGGGGAGGCTTCCACTGGGTTCCGGGGTGGCCGATACCATGGGCTTGTTCGGCTTATGGTCACTGGGGTCTCGCAATATGACTCGTGAGCTGAGCTCAACAGGGGGTCCTCTCTTTTTTTGGACATGGAATAGATCAACCTCCACCAGGTCTATACCCCCCCCCCCCCTTTTGGCCTTTGGTAGGACCCCCACCCCTTTAAAACAAGCCCCAAGACGGGTACCATCTCAACGTGAAGACGCGCCACGCGCTTCTTGTTTCATCAGTTGTAGATATCCGCCCCTCGCTCTTAAGGCCGAAGGGGGGCTTTGGTGCATTTTGCCCGGATGTTAGGACTTTAACTTTTTGCCAACTCATGGGTTTTCCATTAAACCACCAAAAGTTATATAAACTTTGAGCAGGGGAGCAGAAAGCAACCGAGACATGGTGACGTCCCTTTCAGACATGATAGTGTTTTTGCGTCCGGGTACTATGGCGGAGCCAAGGGTTTTGGTCCAGGGGGCATGCAGGAAAGAAGATGCTGGTGGACGGCAGCGGCTCCTTGGTCATCTCCGGGCGCACCACCTTTGCCGCAAGCCGCACAGAGGCGCGCAATGGCGCAAGCTGCTCGCGAGCGGAGGGCGGCGTGGGTCGTCCGTCCATTTTTTAAATAAAAATTAAATAAAAAACATAAAGTAAAAATAAGGGGAACCCCCCAAAATGGCGCGACGGGGTTTCCTTTTGGATTGCCTCAAGCCGATGTTCCTTTTGTAGGGACTTTTTGTCAGGTAGCCTCAAAAGAAGACGGTGGCTCCCTTGCCCAGATTCAGGTCGGTAGGACCCTTTGGAGGACCGCCAACAAACGCCCGGCGTTCTTTTGGGGGGTGGGGCTGGTCGGGAAATGGTAGGAGCGCTGTTGTGAGACCCAGCGAACACGACCATGGCAAGCATGGCCCGTGCCTGGCCCCAAATATGGACGCTGTGTTTTTTGCGAGACCCCAAAAGTCAGGATGTAAAAAGCAGTGGGGGGGGGATTGCAAACAAAGAGGCCTGGCGTCGATTGATCGGCTTTCTCTATGAGACGGTGTGTTGCGTGCCATGGCAACAAGAGAAACTCCAGGCGTGGCTTGTTAGTCGCGAGGTCTGAGCCTTTGTGGTTGCTTGCAGGAAACCGCCGTGCACGGCCCCCGCCACCCTACCCTCCTCCCCCCGCCCGGCCGCCCGGGAAGCCGGCCTTTCCGAAGGTGAACATCAACGGCGTGCAGGACACGGTCCGGTCGCGCGCAGATCCCCGGCCGGGTCGGTCGCGGATTTTGGCGACGCGATTTTTAAGTCGATGTTGAAACCGTTCCCCTCAAGACTGCGTGGAATTCCTGGAGTTGCGAAGGATGGTTTCTGGGTTCCATGTCATATCTCGAAGTGAGCAAGTTTTTGCATTGGGATACTTGTTTGAGCAGGGGAAAGAGCCACATGGTTACCCCGCGGGATCAGAGACAAACCAACAGGCAAAGAAGAAGACACGTTCACTTCGGATTTTCGGATCAACGACTTTGCAGCCGACACAGGACTGCGTCGAGTACTCCGCGGAGATTTGCTGCCGCAACGCCGAGGCGGGATATGTGAGCCGCCGGGTTTGTTTTAGAAATTTGGGAGCCTTTTTGAGATTACCTTCCACCAATCAACAGGGAACCTGACGTTCGGGGGGGGTCCTGGTTTGGACCATGTTCCTTTTAAAGGGACCGGGTCCCGAACGTCAGGTTCCAATTGGTGGAAGGGCAACATGAAGGAAAGGAACCATCCCTGCCTGGAGGTCTGGGCGAATTTTGGGACGCCAGACCTTCGTATTTGTTTTTGAAACGCCGTTTGGTTTCGGCCAAGTTTTTTCTTTTTGCACGCACGGGGCAACTGCTGCCACCGGCAGAGTTGGGCCAAATTGCCTCAAATGTTGACCGTGGTTCTGTTTCAAGGGCAGCCACGCGGAGGTTGTTTAAACCTTGAAGGAAAATACTGATACATCTAGGGGCTAGTCGCAACATCACCCAACTGGCTGATGTGGCAACGGAAGGAAAGCAGGTGGTCTTTGGATGTATCAATTAAGTCGCCCGGGTACTATATAGGTGTGTCGAAAAATAGGGGGACCCCCTTTGGTTTTGCTTTAAGTCCAACCCCAAACAGGGTAGCCTCAAAAAAGACGAGCCCATATGAAGGGGTTGTGTTTCGCCCAAGCCTGGCGACCGGAGAACGGCCGACGGAAGTCCCGGGAGCGCGAAGCGTTTGCAGGGCTTTGGCGAGTACTCCATGGCCAGTGATAGCGTCGCCAACATCGATGCCAAGGTCCCGCTCGGGCTCGCTCGAAATGGCTGTTGCAAGGGACGTGTGGGTTGGCTGCAGGATCCGATTTCCCTCCCTTCTCCAAAATAAGGCCTGCAGGTGGTCAAGGCTCATAAAGCGCACACGAGATTTCAGCCAGCAAACATGTGGGCAGAATTCGGCCCGGTCCTTGTGCTTCCGTTTCCTAGAGCTGCCCCTAGGGCCCTAGGGAAAGCACAGGAAGAGGCACGATGACGCCAATGGAGTCTGAGACACGTGTTGGTTAGGGTCGGACCGCATCTCCAAATGGCAGCTTTCGGTGCTCGTGAAGAAGATGCGCGCACACACAAAAGGGGGAAAAGGCCGTGGGTAGCCTCAAAAGCAGAGACACCCAGACGTGCCAACGACTTTTCTCCTTGGGGTTGGGGTGAAAAAGCAGAAATGGATGAGGATACGCACCCTTTTGGTTCTTGAAATGTAGACCCGAATGGATCCATTCCCGGTAGATGTGGCACTAGCCAACAGCAGGCTTGGTCGTCAATCCCTTGGACAGCTGAAACAAAGATGCGTGCCGTGGTCCAAAGACCCTTTTACCAGGTCCTCCAGTACTACCCTTTTACTGTTTCTTTTTTAAGGGAGGGTTCCCCTACTAAAATAGACTGCAGAAAAAAAGGTACCCTTATTCTAACTTCTAACCTCTCTACTGGAGGACCTAGTTGCTAAGGATCCGTAACGACCATGCCGTTTCCCATGAAGGGAACCATGACCATAGGCCATAGGAGGTTGACCGTGGCACAGTGGCACATGCATGTAAGGGGTTCCTTTCTCAGGGAATCGCTACCATGACCCATACGAGGAGCTTTGCTCGTGGCAACAAACATGACACGTGTTTGTCTTGATCCAGTCTGGATAATTTAATGTTCCTTCTTTAGGAGAGGCTACGCTTTTTTCACTAGGGGACCACCGAAGTAAAGTCGTTGGTGGACCGCCTATGAGTCATGAAAGTAGGTTATAACCTGGGTTACCAACCACAGAAAGGCGAGGGGTGCTGGTTTCTTAAGTGAGTGGACGTGTCTGTGTGTGTGTGTGTGTGTTTTTTTTTGAAGGTACCCTTGATTCCTTGGTTTAAAGGAAAGCCTACCGTTTTTTGGGTCCTCCATTTTGTCAGATACCCGATTTCGGGCGATTTTTTCCATGACTGTCGGAATTCAAGAAAAAACCTTGTGGCTGGGACAATGTGTGAGCACATCACGCTTCCTCGATGGTTTTCAGGAATTCTGCGTGAGGACCACATTCTGTTGACAGTCAACAGCAAGAAACCCCAACCAACTCCAGCATTCTCAAGTCAAGTCGCCAGACCCAGCTGCTGGCGGGTGGTGTCAAACAACCACCTTCCAAAATGGTGAGTTTTCACGTCGGCCGCCCCAAACCCGAGAAGGGCAGAAGGTGGTTCTGCTAATAGGTTTCATAGAGAGCAAGTTCTTTACTCTACCGCAGCGTGCTGCAGGTCGCTCCTCTCTCTCTTTCTCTCTCTCTCTCTCTCTTTCCCTACTGTGGATGGACGCAATCCTGCACTACTTCGAAACCATGGTTGAAACCATTGTTTGTTGGTGTTTACAGGGGAATCAAATCATAGACCAGGGTTCTGAACGGTAGTGCGACATGGATTTCACAACCATCCGCAGTACTACAATAGAAACGGAAAGCTCAGCAGCTTCTTTTTTTCATGAAGGGGTCAGTCAGCAAATAGGGGGATTTGCAACCTGGGCTTGTCTTGCTGGTGCCTATCGCACCAGCAAGTTGTGTCCCTATCGCAGCGTGCTGCACAGTATTACATTGGACACTGAAAGCTCAGCGGCGTTTTTTTCCATCCAGGGGTCAGCAAATGGAGGGATTTGCAACCCGGGCTTGTTTCCCTACTGTGGATGGACGCAATCCTGCAACACCAAAGAAGCCCTTGAATGATGATCCCCCTGTAAATGCCAACAAGCAATGAATTCTCTTTGTCTCAAAGCGGTGCGAACGGATTGTCCATCCACAGTCTGGTAATCTTGGTCCAAGCACCTCTAAAAAGCACCACCAAATCAACCAAGCACCTTTAAAAGGCACCACTAAACCAACAAAGCACCTGTAAAAGCACCACCAAACCAACTAAACACCTCTAAAAAGCACCACTAAATGAATTAAGCACTAAACCAACAAAGCACCTGTATAAAATGGCGCACTCCCTGGCAGCCCTGGGCTTCGTAGCTCCACTCGCCAGGGCGAGATCGGTGGCATGCAGATGGTGATCCACGAGAGCGCCGCCACCGACGCCGGGGACCAACCGACGAGAGAGCGGTCGACACGTGGGTCGGTTGCCCAAAAAAGACGGGTGTGAGTGTGTGTGTGTGTCCCAAAACGAGGTTCCGCTCAAGATGACAGAGGGCGACTTTTTGGGTCAGTGTTTGGGGGGGAAGGAGATTTGCTTGCTGTTTTTTTTTTGGGGGTTTGTATTTATAACAAGTAAATCAGTGGCAGATGGCAGGGGAATTGCCCGCCCCGAGTTTCCGAAGTTCGTTAAGGGAAACAGCCGGGCGAGTGGAACTGGGGAAACACACAGCTTGCTGCTTGCAGTATTGAGCGACTCTGTGAATTCTTGCTCCTGAATTTTCCATGTGATTCGATGGGTGGAGCTGCATGGTTCTATTGTCTTACGTCCTGTGCAAATGAACATGGCGCTCAACAAAAAAGATCCTCATTGTAGATACTCCCGTGCTTCATATGGCGCCCAAAAAAAGCCTCTCATTTGTAGAGGAATGTTTTGTTTGGGGGCTGGTGGAGCCTTGTTGGAGGGCTTTTGGAGGGCTTTGTTTGGATTCCGTGGCTAGTTGCAGGGGAGGGCTTTTGGAGCCCCAACATCTTCCGGCATCTCAAGGTTCAAGTTGTGCCCGGCGGAAAATACGGCATGTTGATGGGCGCAGAATCAGAAGGCGACCCCCTCTTGGAAGGGGACAAGCAAGGGGCGCTTTCTCAAAATGGGTGTTCCCACTTTTTGGTTGCTTGAAAGGCAATGTTCGGGGGTCCCCGAAAAACAAAACAACTCGAATTGAACCCCCATTCTTCGTGAAAAAGGAAGCCAAGCGGAAGCCATGTTGGGGGGGTAGCCATTTTTTTGGGGTCCCCTGAAAAAAAAGAGGCCAGACCTCCGACCGAATTGACCCCCATTTGTTTGTGGAAACAACCACCTCCTCTGGGCCTTGGCGACCAGGCCTCGTTTTGGCTCGGAAGGGCGGTTTGGTTCGTCCCATCCCTTGCAATGGACATGCTTTTTGGGGATCAAATGGGGTGTCAATTCGGTCGGAGGTCTGGCGCTTTTTTTAAAGGGGACCCCAACAAAAATGGTTAATTACCCAAGCTCATTGAGACAAGGGTGGCCCAACATCAAAGCTTCTGCCCGAACAGCTTGTTCCAGGCGTGCAAGCGAGGAGGCTGTCATTGAAACATTGCCCGGGTGTCTTGGTCTTCTCCTTCTTCTTCTTCCTCTTCTTCTTAACGCCAAAACCAGTGGCAATGAAGCCAAGCCAAGCCGCCAAGCCCGGACTGAAAGCTTAAAGCCGCAAAGTCCCTCTGCCGCTCGGAGCCAACGGGTTTTCCGAGGTGCCCGTGATGGTGCCGCAGGGGGACGGCAAGATCAAGGCACCGCTCCTTTGCCGACGACAGGGCAAGTTGGAAGGTGACAGTCGCAACATGTCTCAACCCCGCTGATTTGTATTTGGCGCTTAGGGACCGACGACTTGAGGAATAGGCCCTGTTGCACGCTGGTCGGACAATGTTTTCCGCGGATTGGAGTTGGGTTAGATATTTTTTACGCTGGTTTCTTTCATGGGAGTGAGGTTTAACGGTGGCAGTGTTTGGCATCGGTTGTTGACACCAGTTTTTGGGTTCCTGACCATCTACTTTGACTGTGAAGCTTTTTTTTTTTGTGTCGCAAGAGTGCAGGTTGGATTCCGACGGTCCCAAGCGGATGCTGTGGCTCTCCGTAAGTGAAGGACTGCTTTTTCAGGCAACGGGCCTGTGGCAAGACTCCACCCGGACGGATCGTGGCTCACACCCAGGAAATGGCATGTGGACACCTTTCTGGGCAGTTTTGGAGAAGACCAAATCGAAACAGCTTTGAGAAGCATCCTACCTGGAGATTCATTCTCCCTGAATTTAGAACGTCCAACACGCCCAACACTACCAGGAAACCAAAACGCCTAGGAAAAGGCCGGAGAATGAATCTTCAGGTAGTAGAATCCTAGCAGAACAAGCCTGACGCGCGCACATGAACGACCGATTCAAGCGGAGCTTCCACCTGCGTTAGGTGAAGTGGACCCTCCCGGAGGAGGCGAAGCAGACGATTGTGAAGCAGCGCTCTTAGTCGGTCTTCTTCCTAAAAGATGATCAACATCACGCAGAACATGTTTTTTTTGTTCAAGCAGACTTTCTGTTTGGTGGTTTTCTTGGAGCTCCCGCCAGATTGAATTTGCTGACCCTGCCAGGATTTTCCGGATGATTGGGGGCCACTTTGCTGACGATCGCAGTCGTTGGAGCCACCTAAGAGTCGTCTGAGCGACGCTCTGGATGTCTACAACTGAGCTTTCGGTTTCCAGAGTAGTACCTTGGATATTGGCGGAGACCATGTCCCGCGCCACTGTTGAAAAAAACCCGGTCAAGTGGACAGGAGGGTTGTGGAACACAGGTGACCCTCTAAATTACAAAATTTCCAAGGAGGGGCACCGCCAATTTTCTCCAATCTTCGTGTGTCCAACAGGCGAGTACAATAGCAGCCAAATTCCGGCCGTGGCTCATTTGCTCTTTGCGATATCGAGGCTCCGACGCGTGGGCAACCAGAACTGGTACCTGTGCTGGGGCCCCAGTGTGTACGGCCTATTCAAACATCACCTTCTTGGGTGTTCAAGCAGGCTATAGCCGTGACTATAAGGGGACGGTCACCCCAGTTGCCCCAGTTATAGGCATGGTTATAGAACCTACTAAGTTGGTTGAGCATCCAAGTGGGCCACTTTCAGATGAGTTCTTCTTGGCCGGGGTGCCCGAGTAAATGCTGGTTCCCCGAATGGGAGGGGGCTCTTTCGCTGGAAAGCACCCCACCTGGAACCTTTGATTCAAGAGCAGGCTTGTGGGATCAAGGGGTTTGTACCCACTTCTGTGATACAAGGGAATCCCCTCTTTATATGGGTGTGGCTCAAAATTAAGCAGGAGGGGTTACGCACGTTTCCACTTACCAGGGTTCCATTTTGGGTACCGGTTTTTTGAGCCACAGCCATATGGGGGGTTAGTCTTTGGCAGGCCCTTTTGGTTGTATCACAGAAGTGGGCATTTCCCACAGCCCCGTTCAAGAGGCGTGTCGACAAGCAAATGTCCAATTTAACATGTTGATAGTTCGACCACATGTCATCCATGGATTATGGCTTGTTTGGTGCTTTGATAACATTCCCACCATTGTTGTTTTTTGTTTTTTTAATCACAAATCGTGGGATTTCATCATCAGTTTCCTTGTTCCAGTGTTTTCAGGCAGGCCAGTATAGGTAACCAAGCATTTACACATATAAGAGAACGGATACCTGGCAATGTACTAGTCCCTTCCCTCCAAACAGAACTACGCCCCCCTGCGAATAACATTTGTTAGTAAAGCCCAGGGTGGGTCACCTGCCACAATGGTAACCTTGTCCGCCACCCCACTGCTCCAGCGCTCTGTGGCCTTGTTGAAAGGGAAAGAACCGGTTTCCTTTAATCCGTTGAAATGACTCTGGGGGGATCTTCACGGTGGCCGTTCTCACTACCTGCAGCTCAAGCTGCGGGAGTGCGTGTGGGAGCTTCAGCTTGACGCCATGCATTCAGCTTGACACCTTCACGCGATTTTGAACAGAAAAGCTGCACGCCCCGAGTTTGAACCGAAGCTTTGAAACGAAAGCTGCGCCCCTTTCCGCACCTAGGTCCCCAGTAGTGCCCTTTTACCCTTTATTTGGGGAGGGTTCCCCTACTAAAATAGATACAGAAAAAGGGTACCCTTTTTCTAACCTCTCTACTGGAGGACCCAGGCACTTACCGCCCTGCTTTCGGATTTCTCGGCTGTCCGGCCCACTGCGCGCGGTCTGTCGTCACTCAGCACTCAGCTGGTCGGAGTTCACTCCCGCAGCCTAAGTGTGGACGACGCGGTTCCGACGTGCGCCTGTGGACTTGTTGTTCTTGTTTCTTCCTTCTCCTTCTATTTCCTCCCCTCTTCCTTCTTCTTCTTCTTCTTTTTCCCTCTTCTCTCCTGTTGCTCTTGCTTCTTGTTTCCTCCCCTCTTCTTCCTTTTCCCTCCAAACATCTTGTACATTTGCCAAGACTTGCACATCTTGGGCTTGAACACGCGCAAATTTTGCGCACCCTCGACTTGTGTGGTTTCCGTCCCGTGCAGTTTGCCTGGAGAGAACATGTTCTTTGTTCTTTTCTCGTGTCCTTGCTTCTTACCTTTTCCTGCTTCCCTCTTGTTCCCTTCTCTTCCTCCGTTTCCTTCTACTTCCTCCCCTCTTCCTTCTTCTTCCTTTTCCCTCTTCTCTCCTATTGCTCTTGCCTCTTGCTCCCTTCTCTTCTTCCTTTTTCTCTTATCCTTGCTCACCTGCAGCTTGAAGGCACCCCTTCGAGCCACCGGCGAATCATTCGGAACCGAACAAGAACTCGCAGCTGATCAATTCAGCCAGGGCGCGTATGCCGCCAGCCAGGGCGCGTATAATTGACCGCGGTCACTGAAACTGGCTGATTCACAAACCTTGCAGAAGGATGTCCCAGTTGGGTGTGGCTCAAAGTTCAACAGCTGGGCTTACGCAGGTTTTAGTCGACATTTTCAACTACCAAGGTTCCATCGTCCATTAGAACCAATGTTAATCTCAACAAATGGCTGGGCCCGAAAGGAAACCAAGCATTTCTACCATCTACCGCGCGATTGGAAAATCTAAGTGCCGCTCAAATGTGAGAAAGATCTCAAGCAACAAGGAGCTAAATGATGGGAGTTCCTGGTCCAAGGTTTGGTCACAAGCAAGCGACCGGTTTTCCAAAGTCACTTGAAGCGCTCCAGAAACAAAGGGGCGATTTGCAAGCTAAAGGACACATCCCTGGCAACCTACTGAATGCTTGTCTCCCTTGTAAATGGGGGGAGACTCCTCTATACAGTCACCTACACCATACAATGGTATAGGATCACTTACAGACATGACACGAAGGAACCAACACCATAGCAGGCTACCACGTTTATGTTTCTTTGGTTTGTAGATGGGGGAGTATTCCCTACATTGGGTTCTACTGAGTTCAGTAGAGCATAGAGGGGGGGTATTTCTTGGTTACCTAAGGTTTGTATTGTAAATGGTGGTCTTCCCTTTGGATTCTTTCCGTCAAGCTGCAAACCCCAAAAAAGACCAAGAGACACATGGGGAGGCCTCCCCTCCCACCCTTCGGCCGCCGGCTTCGGCCCGGAACGCGCGCCGCGCCGTCGAGCGCCGCGCCCGGCTCCGAGGCACCGGGGGCGCCATCCCGGCGCCGGCCAGCGAGACGGTGGCCGCGGGCCTGGAGGAGGGCATCGAGTACGAGGCGATCTTCGAGCGGAGCCGAGCGCGAGCGGAGCGCGAGCGAGTGGATCGAGTGGATCGAGTGAGCGAGCGGGAGCGGGAGCGGGGCCGCTGGAAGAGGTGGATTTTGTTGTTTTTGTTTTTTGTTCTTCTTTTTTGTTCGTGGTCTGGGTGTCCCCACGAAAGGAGACCCACGAAAAGTGGGATGGTTGAAATATGGGGGTCGGACACCAATGCTCACTCCCTGCCTAAGGCACCGGCAAGTTGGATGCTGGTTGTGGTTGGCCCCCTTTTCTTAGAAAAGGAAACCCACGAAAGTGGGTTGGCTCGAAGATTTCTCGTGGTCAAACCAGGGAATGACTTTCTGAGACCGGGTGTTGGGGTTTTGGGGAACCTTCCAGGCATCCCCGAAGAAAGGACACCACCAAAGTTGGGCCCAGGGGTCGATCGCTGCGAAATCGGTAGGGAATGAGACACGAGGCTTCGGTCCCCTGAAGCGGAAACCATAGGGGGGATGGTTTTTCTTGTCATTGGCGCGGCTCCTGTTCTTTTCATTTTTTTGAGGTGGTGTACCCCAGTTACGTCTTTTTGGGTGTGCCCCCGTTTCTGTGGGTTTAAAGGGAAACCAAAAGGAAAACCGTTGCGACTTGGTGCAACCTGGTAATGCCCCTGGTGTTCCCCCGGCAGAAAGTTGAGGTTTCCCTCTGGCTTTCCTTAGGGTACCCTCAAAACAAGGACACCCATTTGATCCACTGGCTGGTCTGAGTCTTTGTCTCAGGGGTGTGAAGCCCAAAGTTTGGGTTTTCCAAGTTAAACCTTCCAATCTGCTAGTTGTTGCTAGTTGCTGTTGTTGCGGTTGTTGCTGTTGTTGCGGTTGTTGCTGTTGTTGCTGTTGTTGCTAGTTGTTGCTGTTGTTGCTAGTTGTTGCTGTTGTTGCGCTTGGTGCTGTAAGGGTGAAAGTACATACCCCTTGTTCATACCCCTTGGCTTCCGTGGTTTCCAACCCACTTTATAAGGGGTACATACCCCTTTTGTGGGAGCGGGGTATGAACATCAGCAGGCCTTTTGGGTTCATTTGTCCAAGGGGTATGTAAGCCTTGAGCTGACTTGGGGTCACCCAAGTTGCAAAGGCAGAGGTTGGCAGCCCTCAGCTCGAGGCAGTTGGATCCCAAAGGGTTCCCCTGTTTGGGGTAAAAGGGAAACACAAGTGCTTGGGGGGCATAAGAGACTCTGGTTCTCAGGAAACCTAACCTCGCAGGTTTCCTCTTGGTATCCCTTGAAAGCACGGCTTTGCGCAAAAAAAAAAAAACCTCGCGACGGAGCTGGACCCTTTCGCAGGCCATGGTGTCCTTCCTCATCAACAACCGCTGGTGCTGCGAGTCGGCGATCAGCAAGCCGGCCTGCATAGGCCGAAATGGGTCTCTGCCGGGTTCCTTTTCTTTGACTTACCCCAAGTCAGACTGAACCGCAGGGGGTTTCCCTTTTGGGGAAATCAGCCACCCCTCAGTTTAAGTCGACTTTGGGGTAGTCAAAAGGAACCCTGCCTGCCGTCTCTGTGTGTGCTGGTGCGCTGCGCGCAAGGAAGCCAGGGCCAACTATGGAGAAGCCACAGGTCTTGTGGGTCCCCGGATATCTCCACCCATCTTTTCCGTGAGCAGGTTTCTTGGGATTTGTTGGGAGCCAAAGGTGCAAGAGGTTGAGACGTGTTTGGCGTGTGGGCCATGAGGCCCGAGTTCCTCCTGCGGGTTTGCCTCCAATCCTGGCCACTGGCCTGGCAGCACCCGCCCCTCCCAAAAGAAGGTGGCCACGCCAAATAGCCTCCATGCCCTCTCCCCAAAAAACCAGGAAAAGCAAAAGCAACAAACACAAAAAACACGTCCTCCCCATAGGTGTCCTTTTTAGGTGAGCCTGGTAAAAAATAGATGGCACTGGTTTAGATGGGTTTTTGTTCCATCTACCAGGGCCATCTATCTTCCCAAAAGGCCACCTATGCCTGAACCCGCTGTTTTTTGTCTTTCCCCCTCGACCCCAAAGTGGCCAGGGGAGCTGAAATTGCCCTCGCCGCCAGTGGCACCCAAGGACCGTGGGATGGGCTAATTTGCTGTCCACTGACGGGAAACCCGCTTTAGAGGGTCCATTTCAAAGGAAAACTAGGTCCCCCAGTAGTGCCCAGTAGTGCCCTTTTTTTGGGGGACTAAAATAGACTACGGAAGAAAGGGTACCCTTATTCTAACCTCTCTCTTTACTGGAGGACCTAGAAAATGGTCTTCCAGGACCTCTCAGTCGGGTTTCATGTTAGTGGACGGGAGTGTGCGGGAACCGGCGTCCCTATTGGCTGTGAGTTTTGGATAGGGAACCACCCAGACATGTTATTTTAAGACGGATCAGGACGGGGTTGCACAGTCTCCTTTTCGGTGATGCTTGATTGAAGGGGATACACAATGACCCGGTACAGAGGACAAAGATGGAAGCTGAGAGTTCCACGCTGAGTGGCATAGTTCGTGTTGACTTTTTGCAGCGGGCAAAGTGAGACGGTTCCCTGGGCAAAGGAGACCGCGAAACACCAACCCACTTTGGCCCTCTGAGCTGTCGCGCACAATGCCGCTGTCTTGCATCGCATCGATGTCAAGAGTTTTCCGATCTCAAGCATGGCTTGAAAAGGCCAGTCCAATCCTTATTTTGGCGCCGGCAACTTGCCAGGAGAATGTTGCAAGAGAACAAGCTCCTGCTTTTTGGGGGGTCTAACAGATGGATCCTAGGATGCTCCACACATGATGATTCTTTGGTGCAAGCGATCGGAATGATTGGTAAGCTTCTTTTGAACAAAGCCAACGGCCATTTTCCCAGCCCAGCGCTTGTTTCAGACCTCCATTTGCCATTGCCGCCACTCCGCCACTGGTCTTTGGGAGTGGCTTGCTGCTTTAGAGGTGTGTAAACCTGGAAAGAATGGCGAAGTGATCCTTTCTCATAGCTGGATGTCCAGAACTGGATGTCCAGAACTGGATGTCCAGAACTGGATGTCCAGAACTGGATGTCAACACGGGCTGGGGGGTTTCCGCCGGGCAGCAAAGAAAAACACCGCAACGACAGGAGCCGCGGTTATACGTCATGGACGTGAGCCAAGGCAGCTGAGCGGGGAGAGCTTGACAATGCACCGGAGAGGTGGACATCATCTGGCTGTGGGTCAAAACCAATGGTACCATTTGGGGTGGGTGAACTCACCACCCATTTCAGGCTTTATTTTAGTGGTTGGATTGGTTGATGTGAAAACTGGGGGTTAACCGATTTGGATTTTGAGCCATGGCCATCCAGGTCCCCCAGCGAACAGGTGCCGTTTCTTCTACCGTTTCTTTTTTGGTTGGGAGGGCTCCCCTACTAAAAGAGACTGCCGAAAAAGCTGGTGCCCTTATTCTAACCTCTCTGGAGGGCCTAGTTCAGGGTTTTCGAGCCATCTCCCTTAAACCTCCCAAAAAAGTGGCGATCGTTTCAATGGAGACCACCAGCAAATTGCCACCTTTGAAGGGGAACTGGGGAATCCAGAGCCCCCTGTCATTTGGGAATTGGCGGCCACACAAGCGCAATCTGCCTGAGGCTCAAACTCGAGATTTGGCCGTGATTTTTTCCGCAGGACGCCCCCCTCAAGCATGGTTGATGTGTTTTAAGCGGGAAAGCCGCCCGGCCCCTCAAACATGGTTGCTGGAGTTCGACATAAATCCCAGCCAAGGTTGCTGATGTCCCCTTTGGGCCCCAAATTGAGCCCCTCCAGCCCAAAAAAGCACCTCGGGCACGTCTGAGGAACGTCTCATCTTGGCTTGGAGCTGAGGGATTCACTTCCAGTCCGGGAAATCCGAAATCGAAAATCCGGCGCCGGAGGCATGATGAGGGTGAGATGGCAGTACTTCAGCAGTGTGCGCCAAGCCGGGCCAGAGGAGTGGTTCAAATGAGGGGGCTGGACAGACGTTGGCCTTCAACAACATCCCACCCACTGACGTGGAACCTCACAGCAAGGTCCCGGAAGACGATTCTCCTTTATAAGGGATTCCACTGGTGGGTTTCATGTCATCGGCATGTGCAGAAAGTTGCATGCACACCTGGAGTTACGCAGTTGCCCAGAGCCAATCAGTTTTCCTTTTCCGGGAAGGGTTTCCCTTTTATATATTGTGTCATTGTTTGGGGGGTGCCCCCCCACAAGAATTCCACAAGAAACCCACCCGAAATCCACAAGAAATCCACCCCCGATCCCCTTTAGCCATGATCACCAATCCCCAGTCCCCGATCTTCCGCGTCTTTTTTTTCTCCCTAAAAAAAAACCCGCGACCGGACCCACGGAGAGGTACCCCCGCTGACCGGGGCGCTGGTGCGGTTCCGCGCCGTGGGCGCGCGGAAGTGGCTCTTCGCCGGGAGCCCCGCAAGAATGTCGCGGGCTTCGTTGTTTTCTTCGTTCGTTTTTTTTTCTTTTTTTTTCTTATTACTTTATTTATTTATTATTGATTGATGAATTATTTACTTATTTGCTTATTTGTTTGATAACTTTTACTTGTTGTCCGGCGTGAGTTTTTTTCTAGCTGGTGGTAAGAAGGTCGTTTTGTTTCTGTCCCCTTCTGCCTTGTTCTTTCTGGTTGAAAGGGAGCCAAGGAGCTCGGGGGATCCACATGTGCGAAGGAGGGAGCGGAGATGCCAGGAGTTCTGTGAGGGACATGGTAGTTTTGGATTGTTCAACTGGGTGTTTGTGAACATTTAAGAGCCAGAAAACCACAGGTTTAGTTTACTTGGTCTACTGTTCCATTTACCAGGGTTCCGTTTGGAATCCCTGGTACCACCAAACCACCGATTCGGCTCGAAACCACCAAGTAGAAGGATGGAGAGTTGTTGCAGTGTTTCTTGTTGTTCTGCTTTCTTGTTTGTTGTTGTTTTGTCTTTTATCTTCTTTTTGGAGTGGGGCTCTATGTTTTTTTTGGTTTTTGTTTCAGTTTGGGTGTGGCCTTTTGAATGGGGCCCCGTGAATTTCAACGGGGACCTCCCTCAAAGGTCCACTCAGTTTCCACCTGACGGGAGAAAAGCTCACGGGTGCTGAGGCATCAACCCGGTTTTTTGGGAACCTCCAAGAGTGGGTCGATCGATTTAAGGGACACCAGTAAGTTGATCAACCTTTTTGGGGGGTCGATCGATTTAAGGGACACCGCCAGTAAGTTGATCAACCTTTTTGGGGGGATTTGGAGTGACCCCTGACTCACACTGTTTGCTGTGCTAAGAAACTATGAAGAGCGGCTCCCCTTTGAAGGGTTCAACGAAAAGGCTCCTTTCTGGCTGGGATGCTGAGGTTTGTGTGCTCAAAGCGACTCGAGTTGTTTGAATGCGGGGAATAAGTTTCAAGAAGCCCCTCAACAGTGGTTGGGGGAACACAACTCCCCATGGTGTCCGCTGAAATGGTGTCCCCGATTGTCATTCAAATCACCTGGCAACCCAGTCGAGTCTAGATATGTTTGGTTGATGCCCCTTCATTTTGAATGGTACAGCTAGAAGACAAAGGGATCCTTCACGTTGAGCGGGGCATTACTTGCTTGGCTCTCAGGGAATGAGGGAAACGAAAAAGAAACTCAGGATTTTGATCATGCCTTATTTCAAGACACACCCAAAGCTGGGCAAAGGGGTCCGTTTTTCCCAAGGATACCACTCGCTGATTTCGGCCCTTTCGTCTCGTGCAGGCGCACCCCAGCAATGGGGCCCTCATGGATGTTGGCCCGGAGAAGGCGCGCAAAAGATCAGACCGGGCGAAGCAGGCGATGTGCGGAGAAAGCCGACATGAGACGACGACACTGTGTATTTTCAACTGGGAACCTTTGGTGGACATCATTCAGGCGGGGATTCATGTCCACCAACAAGTCATGGTGCTCCCCTTATGTGATTATTATTATTCTTATCGTCGTCGTCCTCCTCCTCCTCCTCATCATCATCATTCTCATTATCCTACTCCTCCTTCTCCTCCCGCTCGTTCTCCTCGTCGTCTTCCTCCGCCTCCTCCTCCTCCTCATCATCATCATCATCATTTCGGGGCTTCCCTGTACCACCCCCTTGACAATTTGTTTGGGTGGCTGTTTTAGCAAAGGGTGTCATGTGGAATCTGGCTGTTTGGTGCCTCAGTTGGTTTTGCTGGCTCAGGATTGGCTTAGTATTGGTATAGTACTAGCAAGAATTGGTTTAGTATTGCTTAGTATTCGTTTATTGGTTTAGTATTGCCAGGGCTCGTTTTGTTCTCATCCCCGTACGGGCAGCCAAAGCGTCTTTTCTCCCCATGAAGCAAAACTGTTCAGTGTTTCCTCCCCTTCTCCTTTTCAGGGTGGCAAACAGTTTTCGGGCACTTTTCCAGCTTGCCTCCCTATTAACTACGTTGAAAGTTCACAGCCAAATATAAAGCGTATTCTGCACTTTTCGCAAACAGAATCTGACAATCGGGACTTTTGCCATTGCCCTGGGGTTGGGTCGGATTCGAGATATCTCATTCGACAGGAGCCGGAGCTCATTCCGTACCCTCAGTGCGACGTGACCGTGCCCGAAGCCCAGTGACACGAATGTTTGCATATCCTTTGTCATTTTGCTTGAGCCTAGGCTGTGTCAAAATAGGTGGACCCACAACATGGGAGCTTTTCCTTTCAACTGTTGGTTTCCCTGTAGTTCAACCCCAAAAAAGTTAGCCTCCAAAGGACACGCCCAGATGGCTCTGGCTTTGAATTTGGTTGTAATTTTTCCAGTGGAATCCATCGATTTGTCCGAATTGGCACCCAGATGTGCGCGTAAACTCACGACTTGGCCGAGGACACGCCCGTTGAAATGGGTGGCTCGTGTTTTAATAGAGAATCCCAAAGAAATCGAACTATTTTGGGGGTCCCATGTTTTTAAACCCCAGACAAGCAAGCAGACAAAAAAAATGAAATTCCTCAGCACCAGCTGGAAATTCACCCAATCTCTTGTCACATGATAGTATCATAATCCATGTAGCTTGTTCGGCCCTGCTGTAATCACGAAAGGGATCTGCGTGGCTGGGTTGAGGGCGACTGGGGAGCCGGCTAGGTGATCATGTTCCTTTGCAAAATCCCACATGAGTGCCAGACAAGATTACCGGTGGGGGGGGGGGGAGGATGACAGGGGCGGACAAAAAATGGGGTTGCCTTATGTTGAGAGCAGCCCATGGTTTCCCAGCCTTCAGAGAAGCTCAGTTGGGAGTGTTTTCTTGGGTACCCTTTCAAGTTCCAAGGATGCACATGGAGGAGAACGACCACCTTTGAGTCCAACTCCCATATTTTGGCGAATGGCCCATGACCAGAAAAGTGAGGTTTCTGGTCCCCCCTCATTTTTTGGTTGGTTTTCTCGATGTTGTTTTTTGTGTTTTTGTTTGGTTGGTTTTTCTGTGGGTCACAGGTCCACAGAATTTCCGCCGACCAACTGCCGCCTTCGGGTAGGCGCGGGCTGCCCCTGGGCATCCGATTTGAAGCCTGCGTCGCCTTCAGGAGCGGACGGTCTGGCTGGGGGATGGCGGGGGGATGGCTGGGGGGGGGGGTGTTTGGGGCGTCGAAAGCCGGAGAAGGGGCGGGACGCCGGAGATCTTTGTTGTTGAAGGGACAAATCCGTTGCGGATGGGGCCTTTTGACCCGTTTGGCGGTTTTGAAGGGAAGCCAAGCCGACGTTTTGAGGCGTCTTAAAGGGAACACCGAGCCCTAAGACAAGCCCTTCGTGGCTGACGAGCGAGCGATCGGCAAAAGGCCCCTGGCCGAAGAGCCTTCGCCGCGTCGCCGGATGCCAACCGGTTCCTTTTTTTTTTTGCTTTTGGGTTTGGGGGCTAGGATGACCTTCTCTGATACTAAGAGCATCTATGCGAAATTGATGAAGTAGTCATGGTTGGATGGGAATTGCCGCGAAACGGTATCACAGAAGGGGTCGCCCCAAAATCCACTGGGAAATGGGATTCTCACTCCTCAAATGTCCTTTAGATCCCCCAAACAGATAGCCTCAAACAAAGCCAAGCAGAGGGTAAGAGATTGTTGCAAGGTCCCGGGCCGCTTCAAACGGCTTGGCTGGCGTGTTGCATGTTGAAACAAGGGGTTGTCCCAGCACTGGCAGCTGTCGCACTCCCTGCACGGCTGTGGTCGTTGTTTCTGAATGGCCTCCCCTCACCGCAGGCACGTCAGGTTGCTAAAATGGGGGGGATTAAACCCCCGTTTGCTTGTAGGGTAAATGGAAAACCACCCCCAAACCTCCAAACCACCAGCATACAAGCCAGGTAAGCAAGGCTTGTTTGGTGTCGGAACGCGCCGCGTAGCTCTGGGCTCGAACCGCGGGGATCGAGCTCGACATGGCGTGGCGATATCTGCTGGCGGCTTTGTGCGCGCTTGCCTGTGCCGATGCGAAGGAGGCAGGAACTTTTGAGAGCTCTTTTGCATCGGCCCCCGGCCCCTTAGCCTTTCAGGCTGTTGGGGTTTAGTGGTAGTTTCCATTTGACCCACTAAAAGCTAAACTTTTAGCGGGGGATCTGAGGGCAGCCCAGAAAAGAAACACCAGATGACCCAGCTTTTGTTGCGGGCACGCTCCTGCCATTGAAACAGTGACCAGTAGGGGCCAAGGACCAAGGACTGCCTTTTTTGGCTTTGGCTGAGAGTGACATGTGCATCTGACCTCCAGCTGATGTTTGTTGCAGCGAACCAAAGGAGGCCAAATTTTACTTCATCCTTCCATCTCCCACCCCCCCATCCTCTTACTCTCATCATTCCGCCTTGCGTGTATGGGGGTGACTCAAAATAGGGCCCAATTCCCTCAAGGAGTCCGCCATTTTGAGAAACATCCACGAGGCTTCGGCTCTTTTTGCACAGGGAGTGCGACCTCGGTAGTGGTCCACGGGTTCCCTAGATGTTCGGGTGGTTTGTTCCCCTCTGTTGACTGGAAGCACTGGACATGGCATGAGGTACACACACACACACACTAAATTGCCACCAGATACGCGGAGTTGACAAAGATGCAATGGGTAGCATGACGAGGAGACCCCTAGATGTCCTCTTTTGGTGGCGGTTTTAGATATCAGGCCGTTGTGCTTTCATTCGTGACTTTCCTTTCGGTGTTTGGGTGATGTCTTGAGGTTGGAATAACAGGGAGCCCCCAGGAAAGTCCTTTCATGTTGGCAAACGAATGGACAGAGAAGCAATCTAGCCGAATCTAACCCAAAATGTGAGTGCTTGGGGAGGGTGGGTGGGTGGGTGGGTGGGTGGGTGGGTGGGTGGGTGGGTGGGTGGGTGGGTGGGTGGGTGGGTGGGTGGGTGGGTGGGTGGGTGGGTGGGTGGGTGGTGGGTGGGTGGGTGGGTGGGTGGGTGGGTGGGTGGGTGGGTGGGTGGGTGGGTGGGTGGGTGGCAGGTGGTGGGTGGGGGGGGGTTCAGTAGAAGTCACTGAAGCTTCAAGCTGCCCAAGCAATGTTAATCAGGCTCTCCAGCTCAACTCAGCCGACAAGCCTGCGCTTGACTTGTTGCCATGGCAAAAGGCAGACGGAAACTACCCTGAACAAAAGGTTAACTTAAAAAACGGCCAGGTGGCAGAAGGAAACATCCGAGTGATGGAAGAGTGGTTTCCCATGTCTCAACAACAACTAAGGCAAGGTTTCTTTCTTTTCCATTCAGAACTAAATCACGAAAGAGATGCCTCCTATCCCAACCCCCACACCCTCCCCACCTCCTATCCCACAGCCCCACACTTTCCTCCCTCCCCAGATCCCCACAGCCCAAGCGCAGGTGGTTTTAGCCTTCCTGGGGCGCTCCGACGCGGTGGGGGGCTATGAGGACCTGCTGGCGGCGCTGCGGAGCGCGGCCAAGGCCAAGGGCCTCGACGTGCTGATGCCGGCGAGGGCGGGGAGCTACCAATCCTTCGAGGAAGCGGGGGGGCGAGAGGGCTAGGTGGGCTGGGGTTGGGGGTGGGTGGGGGTGGGGATGGGGGGGGGGGTTGGGCTGAATGGTTGGTTTGTATGGCGGTTCTTGCGGAAAAGAAGAGGCGGGGGTTAGGGTTAGTTTGGGCTGGTTAGGCTAAGTCTAAAGTTGTGTTACGATGGCTTTAGGGTGGGTTTAGAATGGAATGAATCTTGAACGCCGTTGGATTGTAATTTTTGGTTGAACATGACCACCACCCTGCAACAAGTCAAAATTTTTGCGCAGGGGTAGTAGCTGTCAAGGAATGGCGGGTGGGTGGATTGGCTGAATGGTGGGCTTAGGGGTGGTCTGATTCAAAGGTGGACCCCAGGACGTCTTACAATCGAGATGGGCTTAGGATTGGTTTTAGGGGCTTGCGTTGGCAGGTTTCCGGAGGCCATTTCTTGGATACCAAACAAGGTGCTCGGCCGCGAAGATTTCTGAGGTGGTTTTGGGTGGGGTTGGTTTCCGGACGCCATGTTTCGGATACTAGGTCCCCAAGTAGTGCCTACCGGAAAAAAGATCGGGTACCCTTATTCTAACCTCTCTACCGGAGGACCTAGGATAGGAAAACCAAACCAATGGTACCATTTTGGGGCAGGTGCACCACCCATTTTAGTCTATGTTAGTGGGGATTGGGATGCTCATTGTGACCCATGGCCAATTCTGAGGAGATGGAGCCAGATCTGCTGAAGCTGCTGGCGAAGAACCGCTCCCTGGTGCTGCTGGGCCACGGCATGGGCGAGCTCGGCGGCGCCAGCGCGGCGCAAGTTTACGCCAACGCCAGCGCCATCGGCAGACAGGCGAGGCAGAACGGTGGCTCAAAGAGAAAGCCTCTAAACAGGTGGTTTCCATTTTGGTTCTTTTTTAGGCCACAACCAAAAGCATCTTTCTTGGTTTTTTTTGACGGGTTTGGTGAGTGGCTACTATCCCCGAGTCAGTCGCTGTTCAGAGTGCATACCCAGGCGAGTAATCCAGAAGTTCTATTGACCAGGGAAATGAATCGCTTACTTCACAGAAACCAGGAGGAAGTTAGCCAAAAGCCCACCAAAACCAGTGGGTTTGGCTCAAACAATGTCCAATGTCGACCTTCCTGCTGGCTTTTCAAGGTTGCCTGCCGGTCATCTGGAGGCTCACTCTCAGGGCAATGTTACACAACAATCTCCAAACCTCCAAAAACTGGGGTCATTATTTTGACAGTTTCTGGGGGTTATCAAAGTCAGAAAGTGTGGGTATTTCCCTTTAACCCACCACTTACTGTAGGGGGTGACGTTGATCATGGCAACACAATGAAGCCAGAAAAACCCATAAACATGCTTTTGATCCTCTTGAGGCGCAGAAGCTGGTTCTGCTCTCGGGCTACCTGGAGCGGAGCTGGCGCCCCAGCATCCGAAGCTGCGCGGCGAAGTGGGCGAAGCAGCCCTCCGTGGTGTGCCCCAAGCTGCTGTGCCCGGGCGGGTACCTGGAGGACCGGTGTGTGTGTGTGTGTGTGTGTGTGTGTGTGTGTGTGGGTGTGTGGGTGTGTGGGTGTGTGGGTGGGTGTGTGGGTGGGTGTGAGGTGAAGTGGGGTCGACTTTTGTTGGGGCGGGGGAAGGTTCCAGACGTTGAACTGTTGACCCAGTGCTTGGCAAACACTGCAACACTGGAAGACTGGAAGAATGGAACATTGGAACAGTGGAACACTGGAACGCTAGATTATTGGATTATTGGAACAGTTCCTATAGCAAGTTCTTACTTCTCTCTCTTCCCCTGGTTTCTAGGGCAGAGGCCTCCCCCCCCCCCACCCTCTCCTACCATGGACACCTAGAGTCTATGTTGCAATCATGAACCCTAAAAAAGCCAAGAGGATATTTGAAGGAGTTTGCAAAATAGGAACCCAAAAAAAAACCCAATTCGAAGGAGTTTGCAAAATAGACCCTAAGTGTCCACCATACCCCACCCCCCCCCACCCCCGCCCGGAGACGGGCCTCGGAGGATGGAGTGCACGACTGCCCGGGCCCCAACGTGCCGGCCCCGGAGTTCCCTGTGCCGAGCCTCGCCGTGGGGGGGGAGCTGGATGGCGTGGTGCGGGTCGCCCGCTTGGCGGAGGCGTGGAAGAGGGGAGGGGGGGGAGGGGGAGGCGGAGTTTTTTTTGGGTCCGAAGGGGTTGGTTGTGAACTGCTTTTTGGGGGGGAGGTTTTTTGGTTTGTTCGGGTATGGGTGTAACATGTTGGTATGGGTCCGTAGGTGTAGGAGGTTTTGGGATGTTTTGAGTTATTGTTTTGGTTCTGTTTGCCACCCAGCTTTTGTTTGTAGGCCTTTAGAGTCGATTTCATGAACCTTTGGAGGGTGCTATTGGCTGAGCCCCAGAGAACCTTCCTAAGGTTCCTTGCAAGGCTTTCTTGCCGCGGTTGGCCTTTGCTAGACAGCGAGCAGCAACGTTGGGGTGACTTGGAAGGGACTAACTCCTATTTTCAGACAGGTATGCAACCCACCAGCTAGCAAAGGTGGATATTTGGAGTAGGGGGTATCCTCCAAACCGGAAACAGCCGAAAATCAGACCTGGTTTCGATTGGCTGTTCACTTTT